TATATATATTATTAATTTTTTTGTTGTTATAAATTAAATTATTTGATTTATTTTCACTAATAATACAATAGATTTATACAAGAAAACTATTTTTGAAAATATAGAATGATCGATAGTTCTACTTTCTTTTCTCCTTACATAAATAAAAGTGAATAATTCGAACGAAATGATGATTGAAAAATGTTTGCTCGCACCTGACGACAGGAGTATGTCACCAACAGCATTCTTTAAGGACACTTTTATATCATCTACCATGATGATCCATCGCTTCTGTTCGTCTGACAGACCCACAATCAGTCTCACAGCACGTGCCATTCGTTCCTCACATAGCTGTTTCTGTCTTTCTAAGTCGGCCTTTTTCGCCTCTTTCTCCCTCAATTGATCTTGCAATTTCTCGATACCTTCCTCTATCTCCTGCAGTCTCGCCATAGCGGCTACAAGGTCTCTTTCGGTTTTAACCAAGATCTCCTCGGCTTTCGCCAAAGTTGCCATTTTGGGCTCTACTTTCTTATTTACGAAGTAATAGTTGTACATTGCGTGAATCCATAAGCACAAAGAATGACAAGCCTTTGAGACTTGAAGTACCTTTGACATTGCAATTCGATAGTTATATTATTATCTCATTGCTCGATAATTAAAAAATATTATATATTATTAAATATTATCATATTATTAAATCAAATTTTTTGTTAATTTTGTATTTTTATATAATATTTTTCTAATGCCAAAAAATAATTTTAGAAAAAATTTATATCAATAGACTTTGCCTCTTTCTCTTTATTAATTTTGCGATAAAATTATAAGAAATTATTTCATATGTTTACGCGATTAAATTATTTCTTTCTGTATAAAAATTAAAAATTGATATAGTACAAAAATTTACTATAAATAAAAATAAAATATTGGCTTAAATTTCTGAGACTAAATATTTCGTACGCGAAAAAACAAATGATCTGTCGAATGTAATTTATTATAATACAATCGCGTAGGCAGATATTCACCTTGGCTGGTTCAAAGTTTGGATTTTCTATATAATCCTTGAGTTTATTTATCATTTCCTCCGTAATATCTTCCTTCCTAAAATGTTCCATTGTGTACAAAAAATGAACTGGGTCTGCTAGCATCTGACTTCCAGGGGTCCAGTAATCTAATATCTTTTCGCCGGGAAGTTTCCCAGGAAGCTAATAATATAGCCAAATGCCTTTTAAAGTCCGTGTAATTAAGCTAATTAACAATCGTATTGTGCTTTTTTTTCAAAGAATTGATTGAAAGCTTCTCAAATTTCGAGTTATTATAATATTAATTTCGATAAACATTTTAAATCTCTTAATAAATGGTCAATTTTGACAAAAAGCACAGGATACTTTAAATAATATATTGCTGTATAAAAGATGCACAAAAAAATAATAACTAAATATGCAAATAATAACGAACACAATGATTACTACATCACATAAATTTTATAATTATAATTGCACATATATTAAATAAAGAGCAGTATTATATCCTGTTTATATAGAACAGAAGTATTATTTTGTAATATATTTGCATATAGCTGAACGAACCTTATGTGGTTTTACGTTGTTCACAATGCACATTGCTTCGATCACTAAAAGCACCCCTACTGGCGGTCTTTTCATCGCTTTTACTTCCGTAATATCATTTTTATTCAATGCTTTCAAGCTAGCCTCAGCAGCCTCGAGCAATGGTTTTACTTCATCTGGGAATAGATAAAATAAGTAATTTATATAGACAGGCAATTAGTTTCGTTCAAATCTCTTGTATTATTTGGCTTATCTAAACCGTTTAAATGTGCTCAAATTTATATATTTTTCTAAAATATTGCATTTACTTCATTCTTAGATAATCAGAAGATAACAAATACTTTGAGACATCGACTTTACAAGTATTCTTTTATCATATTTTATTTTTGCTATTAAATATATTGAAAAAAATTTCTTGTGTACTAATAGGCTCTAATAGATTTATACACATGCCAAACTTTTATTTGTATTGATTTGTACTATTATTTTCTTCATTTAACTGCTATGTGTTCATACAAGTATTTATGTACATTCCATATCGAGCTTTTATGTTTAATATTATAAAATTCCCTGACGAGGTTTTGATATTTAAACTGCGTATGTATGCGATACATTTTTCCAAAAAAAAAAAAAAAATAAAAATAAATAAATTATTAAAATTAAATTAAAAATATAAAAGCTATTTGTTCACATATTTTCAACATAATATTTTTCGTAACACAATAAAGATATTATTTTGAACGTATAATACATTCTACATTTCCAACTAATTGATAAAGATAATTGGAAAAAATAGTGAGAGAATTAATCGCGATATATATGTAAGAAGTTGACTTTTCGAATGTTGGTACAAATATTAATTAAGAATGTTTGGGAATTTGAAAAGTAGAGTCAAAAGTATACGTACTGATATTTTTCTCGCGTTATTACAAAATATGTATAATTAAAAAAGAAAAAATAAAGTGTAATAAAAAAGAAACAGTTTGAATGAGATAAGCGTCACATTTTTTTCTTGTCTTTTCTTTTAATTTTAATGTCGCAAATATTTAATGCTGGGCAAATGCGCACAATTATATATGCTAAACATATAAAGTGTACTGTTCTTGCAGAGCGAGTTTTCTACTAACAAATTTAGTAAAGGGATAAAACGTACTTAAATCAGTCTCCGCTTCATCTCTAATCGCTTTATTTTCTTCCTTCATTTTTGATGCCACTGCTTCTTGTTGCACCGCTACTACCTTGGCTTTTTCTGCATCAATCTACAAGTATATTATTTGATAAAGCATATCTCGTTCGTCTAATTAGCATATTAAATTGGGTGATATAAATATTTAGAAATTAAATATTTCGATAGAAAGAATAGAAATGATTGAATTTGTCTGCCTGGTGTAAAGTGAAATTATTATTA